AAAACATGCGCACGCAGCACTCAGGAAAGCTCGCCAGCCCATGTCGGTGCAGCCGCACCTGCGACCAACGACCTCTGGAAACCAACGAGCGCAGCGTCCTCTGATGCCGTTTCGACTTGAGCCCATGGGCAAGATGCGGGACCCCCCGAGACCATCCCCAAAAAAGGGAATATACCGCGCAGCCGTTGGCCCCTGCCCGCGCCGCTAGCGCCGGCCTGTCGGATGCTCGCCAGCACTTGCTCCTGCCAGCCGTTGGACCAGCCGGTAGTCGAACGCCTGCTGCCTATCTGTTACAAGACTAGCACCAGGAACCAACGCTCGTCCACTTTTGCGAAATTTGAGCGCGGCTGCCTCTGCAGGCGACGCCGCCGTAGTCCACGGCGACCTGAGAGACTTCAGTTTCGCCCTCGCGTCTTCCAGACACTTGTCCAAGACCTCCCCGAGAGAATCCTCGACTGGCGCCGACGACTGAAGCGCTAGTGGGGGCCTGTTGATGACCTGTGGGTCGATCCTGGGGCCCTCCTCCTGGCTGTAGAGGCCCAGTCCCGCCGTTCATCTTCTCGGGGCCCGTCCTGGAATGCCCGAGGCCCCGAGACGCAGCGCCGCCATCTCGGCGGGCGGGGTCCCCCGACGCTGGGGCCCCGCAGAGCCGAGGCCGCCGGGCCCGCGCGCCGTCCACAAACCGCACTGGCCCCCGCTCGTTGAAGTTGCTGGATCCCGCTGGACCTCCATCGAGCCCCCCCACAGGGGGCCTTCGTGACGCCCGCCCCCCTCGGCGCGCCGAAGGAGGCATCCGACCCTGGGTTGCGAGGCGCGCCCGGGCGATTCGCCGGCGGGAGGCCCCGCGCCTGCTGCCGCAGATGCTTCGACAGAGCCGGAACGGGAAGGCTGAGCGCGACGAAACTGTCAGCGAGGGACCAGGCCCCCCCCCCCCCAGAAGGATCAACAAAAATGCGAGGCAGCGGCCGAGCGCGGGGCAACGACCTGGAACGCAATATCATCCACGACGCTCCGAAATGCGTGCTGCGGCCGCCCTAGCTGGGCCTAGGTCACCGGAGAAAACGACGAGAGCTTGGGCGAAGCGGTCGCGGCAGAGCGCCCTGCTGTCGCGCGCGCATTGCCCGCCAGCTTCCCCGAAACAGAGCCCCCTTGCGCGGGGCCCTCTCACCAGCGAGCGACGCGCGCGAACATCGCAGCCACCCAAGCATAAACGTGCGCCCCACCGCTGCAGGAAAGAAGGCCGTGGATTCGATGCGCCCATAAAACTTCATCGGACAAAACCAACATGTCGCCGCCAAAATCCCAACACAATGCTCAACATACGCGCTCAAGTTGCGAATCCAATCCGCGCGCTCGGGCGTCGCGGTTGTGGCCGTACCCAATCGAGGTTCAGTTGGATGATCGTGCTTCCAACGCTGGCACCCCGGCTATCTGCGCGTCAACCAAAGCTTCATGAGCAAGTAGAGAAGGCCCATCGGACGACCCCCTCCACCTGCTTTATACAGGAAGACCGCGCGGGCGAGACGATCCGATGGCATGACTAAGGCCTCATCAAGACCATGGAAGATGTCCAACACTCTCTCCTCGCATCCCTCGGGGAGCTCCAAGTTTACCTGGATTGAGGCGCGCTCGCCCCGAGCCCCGCGCCCTCGCGGTCGCGCTTGCGCGCGTCTCGCAGTTTAACAACTCGATCCCGGGCAGCGCGTCTCCTCTGGCGCCCCACCTCGACGGGCGATCGCCCGGCCGCGCCCCTTCGAACCGCGGGGGCGCCTACTGATCGATCGCGGCCTGGGCGGCCACGCCTCCAAGCGCAGAAAGGTCCAGGTCTTCAGTGGGGGCCATAAGCAGGCAGAGTCCGTCCGTGCGAGGCTGTCGAGAGAACGCGCGCGCCGCCTTTCCCCCTTTTCTGAACAGCCTCCACGGCCCACTTCTACCGCCTTCCAAGCGCCCCCTGCGAGCCCCCTTTCTCGCCCCCATCGCCCCCGATCCCTCGCAGGTCGGCCCTGGCGGCCAGCTCCGACGGGGTAAAATCCCCATTGAATTGGATCAGCCAAACGCACTGCAACCTGGGCGCGCATTCCCCCGTCTCCTCGAGCACTGCTAGATCGCCGCCCTCGGCCCCTTGGCCCGCGAAGAAAAAGGCCGGGATGGGCGCGTGCCCCCGCGGCGGCCCTGCGCCGAGCACTCGCGCTGCCGCCGTCGACCGAACCTCTGGGCGCAACAACCGTCGACCGAGACTGCGGGCGAAGCAATGGTTGGGGCCGCGCCCGCGCCGCGCCTGTCGAGCTCACGCTGGGCCAGCGAGGTCCGCCCCCCCGAGGCCGAGGCCCCGCTGGTGGTCTCTGGCCCAGCCGCGGGCCCGGCGCAACTTCGCTCGGCCCTCCGGCCGCGTGCCCCGACGCGCGCAGCACCTCCCCCACTGCGAAGACTGGCCCCTAATCTACGCACCAGTCCATCGCGCTCTTGAGCGTCTCCCAGCTGGCGGCGTTCACCGCGGGCGCGCAGTAGATGACCATGGGCGTGGCTATCTCGCCAACACAAACTCCAGCATCTGTTCTGGCGCTGGATGGTCCTGGCGCGTGCATTGCCCACCCGATCTAGCGCGGAGCGGGAATGCGGGCGCTCCAGCACCCGTGCTCGGGCCAGACGCTCGCTGCCGCCTCGGGGCTCTCAAGGCCCAGCGTGCCTGGCCCACTGCGCCGGGAGAGACGCGGCCTCTGCCCCTGAAGTCCTCGCTGCGGCCTCTGCCGGTGGCTCGTGCGATCGCGACGGGGCGCCGAGCGGTGGCCCTGCCTCCCAGATGCCCTATAAGCAAATATGGGCCGCTGAAGAGCGGCCCGCCGGCGGCGCCGCCGGCCGCGCAGCTTCAGGGCCCCCGGCGAGTGCAACTCTCGGCGCCGAAGGCCCAGCACTTGAACCTGCTGCCGCGCGCGTGTACCAGGGGCCTCTTCGCTGGGTCTGCTGCCCCGCGGGATGGCGGCCAAAAGCCGTCGCTCCATGTGGGGGGCGAAGCGCCGCTCTGGCCTGGCCGCTGGCGCTGCGAAGCCCAGCTCAAGCGGCTCTAAATCCTCGGCGGCGTTTTGTTAGAGCTCAGCATTTTCATGTTCGCCGCCGTTTGCTTCTGCGACATTCGGACCGCGGCTGGGTGCCCAGCGCGCTCACACCCCAACAGACGGGGTCGGCATTGCCTGCCCAGCCACCCCTGCAAAAATGGGCCAGAGCCTGCTTGCGCAGGACTTCGAGGGAGACTTTCCCCGCAGCTGCCAGCCTCCATATCGACCGTAGTTCCAACGCGACTGTCAGCGCAAGCACCGCAAGGACGCGCAAGGCTTCCAGCACCGACGGCTGGCACATCACTGGGGAAATTGCCGCCAATGCCTGAAACATGCAAAAATCTCCCACTCTCGTTGGAAGCCTTCACCCACCCGACCGTCAGCGCCAACGCCACCAGGACGAGCGGACTGCATGCCCAATGCTCCATCTTCCGAATTGACAATGGCCCCACCCACGTTGGAAGTACACCCGCCCGAAAGGGAAGTAAGATGGCCCGCCCGACCCGCAACGATATCGCCACCAGGACAAGCAGGCCGCATGCCCGAGGTGAGGCGCCCAACACCCGGCTGGAAGCCATCTCACCGAAGTAAAAAGTACAGCGACCCTCTTTGGATGCACGGTCCACCTCTGCCAGGCCGACCTCCAAGTTTTCGCCACCCACGAGCACGCCGGAGATGTCAAAGTCGCTGCGGCTTCTTGATCCCCAACGCTTCCATCGTTTCGTGGAGCTCGCGCTTGGCTGCCTGCCGCTGCTCTGGTTATGTTGTTCCTCGTAGAGCGTATGGTGTCTTTGTGAAGGCCTCGTGCTAAGCGTCGTCGCCATCTGCTCCGAGTGCGTCCATGTCGGTGCCGTTTTTTTTTCCACTGGCACATCCACAAGTGCTGGGGCCCGCAGCGGCAGAACCTGCAGGACCAGCAGGAACAGCTGCGTGACCAGCGGCAGGCGCGGCTGCCGCCTGACCCTGGGCAGCCTGGGCGGCTGGTTGCAGCTGGAGTCCGAGCAGAACATCGAACGCCACACGTCCTGGGCCAGACGTGACGACCGGCCTCACGAGCGCTGCCATAACGACCTTGAGCGGGTCATCGAGCTCATGGACGCGCGTCTTGCACAGCAGGCCGTCAGCCTACGGTGCGCCTTGATGTCCACGAGCTCGATATCCAACCCTGTACACTGCAACTCGATCGCCTCGGCCTTGGCACTGCTTTCCAAGTCATTTCTGCGTAGGTTCTCGGCCCGCCAATGCGTAGACTTCGCCGACGCTTTGGGCTTCCGCACTGCTGCCTTGCCGTTCGCCTCCACCACCTCGGCCACTACAGCGTGAATCCCTTTCCTTCTAAAGGAATTTCGCACGGGCGGATGCGAGAACTTCGATACCGAGAAAGAGGGCTTGCCGCCAGTCTTTGCAGTTTCCGTCCAGGGGCGGCGGCTTCTGCCCCCCAACAAAAGACCTTGGCCACCTGGGTTTGCAGCTCCTTGAGCAGCCGCATCTGGTCCAACTGCTGCGGCAAGTCGCGTGTTCATGCTCCCCGCTGGGCCGTCGGACCAGCGGGTTGACGTGACCGCCTCTGGCGCCGCAGCGCGACAACCTTGCACTTGACTCTGGATGCCCAATTGTCTCATCAACAGCACTTGCACCCACAACAGGGGGTCCTGGCGTTTGGCAAGACATCCGGTGGGAGCCCAATGCGCTGAGCACCACACTGGGGGCGCACGTTTGTTCAGAAAGGCTCGCGCGGACGAGACGCGCAAGCACGCGCGCGCAAGCTCAGGCACCAATCGCCTGAACCAGAGCGCCTAGGAGGAAGAGGAAGAGGAGGAAAAGGAGGAGGATGAGGAGGAGGAGGACGAAGAGGCAACAGGCGGAGAAGGAGAAGGACGAAGAACCAACGAACGACAAGGCACGAAACGCAACGACGTCGGGAGTGCGGAGCAACGGCGTCGAGGCCTGCGACTCGGGCTCTAACTTGGAACAGTCGTCCCTCCTGTCACGGGCCGCTGCCTCGGTGCGGCTCGCCGGTCGGGGAACAAAGGGCAGTGCCAAGATGGCGCGCCGCCGTGGGAACCCACGGGCGCGTTAGAGAAGCACCAGGCTTGGAGGCCTGGAAATTGGCACCAACACCAACACAGGGGGCTGCCTCCACATGGGGAAGGCGATCCTAGATTTCGGTGCTGGCGGTAATACTTCGGCCACCCTGGAGGCCAGAATAGTACCACCATCACCGAGATCGGGATCGTCTTCCCTCGGTGGAGGCACACCGCCGTTGGTGTTGGTGTCAACCCCTGGGCCTGCGACAGGCCCTCGAACAAAACGAAGGAGTAGCACGCCGACAGGCTGCCAGCGGCAGCGTGTGACACGCTGCCGCTGGCAGCCCGTCGGCAAGAGTGCTGAGGACTCCTCAGCACTCTTGCCCCATCCCGAGCTGCCAGCCGGCAGCGGGCAACCGCTCTGCGATTCTCGCCACGGCTTTCCCCAATCGCGCCCACGGGGATGGAGATTAGGCGCTGGAAACGACAGAGCAATTTGCTCACCAATTCCGTTCTGTCAGTTTGATATAAATGTTGGCGCCGTTTGTTTTCGAGTTCTGTCACAACTGTTGTTCCCAATTCCCGTTCCGACATCAATCTGGGAACAATTCCTTGTCAACATTTCCTGAGCATTTAACAAAACGGCTCTAAAATTGGCCTGTCGCTTCTGAAACCCAAACACAGAGATTGGAAAATATTCTGAAATGGAAACGACCTTGGACCAGACCCAGCGGGCGCAACAAATTGTCGCCGCAACACCCTTTCGAAAACTGAAAGGAACACTCTCGCGAATCGACACGGCACGGTGGGCGTTCGATGGCGCTTGCCTTGGAACTATTCGGTGGCGCGTTTCGAACTGGGGAGTGGCCCCCCCGCAACACTCGGCGCCGTCAATCAGAACCAAGGGGGACTCCCCTCCCCCCTAATCCCCCCCTCCCGACCCCCCCCTTCCCGATCCCCCCCCCCTGGCGCTGGCACCGGCGTTGGCGGCCGCCAGCGTCGCCAACGGCGGGGACGCAGCGACGATAACCAGAGGCAGCCCAGGGGGGGGGGTTCACCCCCCCCCCCCGCGCCGTCGCTGGCGGCGGCCAGAAGCGCCGACGGCGGGGACGCAGCGACGATTACCAGAGGGCCCAGAGACCGCAGAAGGAACACACAAATCGCCATATCGAGCCCTCGCCACCCAGAAGCCACCGAGAGGCCCTTAGGAACTCCTCCTACATATCCTCCTCCTCCACCTCTTCCTCCTGCTACATATCCTCATACATCTCCTCCTCCTCCTCCTCCTCCTCCTCCTCCTGCTCCTCCATCTTCGGTCCCCAAAACACATGATGTCTTCTCTTGTGCCCGACGCGGGCTCGATGTGGACTCGACGCGCATTTGGCGCGGATCCCACGTGGATTCGACGCGGAATTGGCGACGCGGAATTGGCGAGCCCGACATGGTTTCGACACGGATTAGGGGCGCGACGGGACAGACAGGGTGCCCCGAAGATGCGACAGAACGATCCGCAGCACTCCGTTGGGCCGTGATGCAACCTCCCCGTGAGCAGAGGCCCCCGCCCCCGCAAGGATGAGCAGCCAGACAAAGTCGGGCTCGCACCCCCCCCCGCTGCTACTGCCAGAGGTCTTCCTGAACAAGAGGAGGAGGAGGAGGAGCAGGAAGACGACGAGGAAGAGGAGGAAACTGAAGATGGGAAGGAGAAGGAAGAGGAGAAGGAGAGGGAGGAGGAGAAGGAGGAGGAGGAAGAGGAGGAGGAGGACGCGGAGGGAAGAGGAGGAGGAGGAGGAGGAGGAGGAGGAGGAGGAGGAGGGGGAGGTGGAGGAGGGGAGGAGGAGGAGGAGGAGGAGGAGGAGGAGGAGAAGGAGGAGGAGAGGAGGAGGAGGAGGAGGAGGAGGGGAGGAGGAGGAGGAGGAGGGGGAGGGAGGATGAGGAGGGGGGAGGGAGGAAGGAGGAGAGGAGGAGGAGGAGGAGGAGGGAGGAGGAGGAGGGAGGAGGAGGAGGAGGAGGGAGGAGGAGGAGGAGGAGGAGGAGGAGGAGGAGGAGGAGGAGGAGGAGGAGGTAGGAGGAGGAGGGGGGGAGGAGGAGGATGGAGGAGAGGAGGAGGAGGAGGGAGGAGGGGGAGGAGGAGGAGGACGAGGACGAAAACCTCCTCTCGGAGGACGGCCCACTGGGGGCCGTGGCGGCCAGAAGCCTCCGGGAGGCATGAGAAGGACGAGGAACGCCAGGGAGGACAACTCCGTCGATGACAGAGGTCCTGAACACAAGAATGATGCTCAGGAGGAGAAGGAGGAGGTGGAGGAGGAGGAGAAGGAGAGGGAGGAGGAGGAGGAGGAGCAAGAACTCCTTCTCCTCCTCCATCTCCCCCTCCCCTTCCTGAACGGCCAGCGCGATCAGGGGGGAGGAAGGATGAGGAGGAGCCCAAACTCCTGCGCCTCCTCCCTCCCGCTCCTGCTCCTCCCCAACCTCCCCCCCTCTCCCACTACTGTCGGCTGCACGCAAGAGTGACCCTGGGTAAGAGTGACCTTTAATGCGCGGCTTGTTGGTGGCCGCGGGGGGACCAAACCTGGGCGCGCAAGCCGCTGCTCCTGCTTCGTTTTCAGACACCTGGGGGCCCATCTGTGCCCGCACCAGAGGTCATTCCAGCGAAAGGTCACTCTTACGTCTAGTCGATACTGGCCCTCCCGGGCACCCCCGACGAAGGCGGCCGAGCCCGGCGCGAGATCAACGCTCCGGACCGCGTGCACGGCCGTCTCCCTGCGGGCGCGTCGGAGGAGAGAAGAGGGAGAAGGGAGAAGGAGCAGGGAGAGGGAAGGAGGAGGAGGATGGAGGAGGACCAGTAGAAATTCAAGACGAATTAGCGATATGGCAAGACACCCTCCCTCAAAGTTCCGTTGCACAGGTTCCTACAACAATCTATTTTAACTGCTGGAAATGCTCCGTTGGAAGACAAGCGTCTAATAATCTCCAACGGTGCCAAAACACCACTCCTTCGACTTTGTGAACTGCGAATGAACCTTGTGATTGCGTCGTGCCAGGGCCCCATTCCTGGGATTCCAATACAAAGAACAAGCAGAACCTTGCGTCGTGACATTCAAATAGTGCCGGATCACGATTCCGGGGACGCCAGCCGCAAGAATGTGTTAAACGATTGTAAACTGTCGGCGCGAATGTGCGCTGCGCTAGAGCGCGGTCCGCATTTTGAACAAGAGTCGCCCTACATCCGTGAAACTCGTGCCCACTTTCTGGGCGCATGCGCGCGGCGCTACGGCGAGAGTCTATTTTCAAAACCACCAGGCCTCCATCCGTGAAGCTGCTGCCCACTTTCATAGCAAAGGCGCGCGAAACTAAAGGCGAGAACCACATTGTGCAAAGACGCGGCGACACTTTCGCGAAGCTGATGCACGCATGAGAGACGAATCTGCGTGCGCGGCGCTCCGGCAAACACCGCATTTTGAAGGCCATCCGCTCCCTGTCGTCGGAACTCTTTCACACGTTTGAAAAGACTGCGGCTGGACCAAGTTTTTTTGTTTTTGCATGAGACCCTCTCCTGCCAAACTGAAGAAAGAACCTTCGAGCAGACCCTTCCCCAGGATGCACAAGAGCACGCGACAAACACGGAGAATACGAGGGCACCTTCCCCGAACCGACCTCGATCTTATCCTGTCGGCACGACCGCAGGCGCGGCGCGGGGCGAGAGCCACAGTTCGAAAACAACACGCCCTCCACCCGCAAAGCTTGTGATGACCTTCATGCGAATGCGCTGAAGCGAGGTCCACATCTTGAAAGCGAAACACCCTCCATACGTCAAACTGCGGCACAACTTGAAAACACTCGTGCGCGGCGCGACGGCGAGAATCACACTTTGAAAAGGAACCGCCCTCCATCAATGAGGCTGCTGTAAATTTTTAGGGCGGATGCGCAAGGCGCTAAGGCGAGAACCACATGTTTGAAAATCACTCTCTCTCTCTCTCTGCATCTATGAGCTTTGCACACTTTTCAGACCAATGTGCGCGGTGCGCAAGCGAGAACCCCATTTTGAAAACCACACGCCCATCATCCGTGAAGCTGTCGCACACTTGAAATACGGATGTGCGCAGCGGTAACGCGACAGCCGCGTTTTGAAAACCGCCCGCCCTCCATCCGTCCATCCGAGAAGCTCTTGCACACATTAAAAAAACGAATGCGCGCGGCGCTGGGGCAAGAGCCACATTCTGAAAACCACACGCCCTACATCAGTGAATCTGCTGCGCATGCCAATTTCTCCAGATCGTAGACGGTGAGAAATGTCAGGCGACACGCGCGGTCCGCCCTACCAACACGTCTCAGGGTGCGATAGGGAGGAGTTATTCATAAGGACAACAAAGGCGGTGCAGGAACAAGAGGGAGAATAAGGGGGTTGGCATTCCCATCCCAACACGAGGAGGTATGCTAAGATGCAGGCTTCGGCTCGGAGTGGCGTGCTGATTGGTGGTGCGTAGGTCGAATTGGAAGCCCCTCTGGGAACCTGGAAAGTAGGAGGAGGAGAAGGGGAGGGGTGGGAGAAGGGGCGGCAAGTCAGACGTGATGCGAGCTCCACAGGAGGAGCTGGAGCAGGAGGAGGAGCACGCGGAGAACGGAGGAGGAGCACGGGGAGCAGCAGATGGAAGAGACGACGCCGGCGGGTGTAGCGTCAAGGGAGGACCCGGAGGACTAAGGAGGAGGAGGAGGAGGAGGAGGAGGAGGAAGAGGGGGAGGAGGAGGAGGAGGAGGAGGAGGAGGAGGGGAGGAGGAGGAGGAGGAGGAGGAGGAGAGAGGAGGAGGAGGAGGAGGAGGAGGAGGGGGAGGAGGAGGAGGAGGAGGAGGAGGAGGAGGCTCAGCAGGAGCAGCCCAGCGCAGATACTGGGCGCACGCGGGTCGAGGCGGCGCCGCGGCGGGGGGGGGGGAGGGCGAGAGGCGAGGGGGCGTCAGGGGCGGGTCGAGGGCACAGGGCGAGGGCCTGGCGGCGCGCGCAAGAGAGAGAGAGAGAGAGCGGGAGGCGCGAGGGGGGACGACCTCCTGTCGAGGACTGGCAGAGGTCGCCTTGGGCAGAACACTCTCGAGCGAGAGCTGCCGCAGCACTCCACGGACACCGCGCGGCACTGCGCTCCGGCGTGGGCAGGAGGCCGCGCCCATGCACGGCGCGCGCAGCACTGCACAGTGGGGCCCTTCGCGCCAGGCTCTTGAACTCCACCGTCTCGAGAGATGCATGCGGTCGTGCGGAGGCCAAGACACGCAAGCAAAAGCAAGAGGTGATCGGTGACTGAGCCAGGCGGGGCCGAGCCCAGAACGACTGCGCGGAGACTCTTTCTGCCCATACGTGGGCGTGGATCTGTCGCGTGTGCACGCGGACCTGGTGGACCCACCTGCCCTGCCTGGAGAAGCAAGCTGAGGAGGTGGGAGCGTCATGAGGCCAGCTCAGGAGGAGGAGGAGGAGGAGAAGGAGGAGGAGGAAGATGAAGAACAGGATGAGGAGGATGACGAGGTTGCCACGGTTGCGCTGAGGCTGACGGGTCGGATAAGGGCGGGCCCGATATCGTCTGCAGGCAGCAAAGTTCGTACCCCCCCGTTTCCTTTTTTCCACTCCCTTTGGTCTGACCCGAATAATCCTCGTCGTCTAACTGCCGGCCTTCGGGTCATAACCTGGGTCTCGGGCGGTCGTTCGGGGCGATCTGGTCCCTTCCAGAACGCTCTCGGCGAGGCGCAGCTGCTGGAGAGCATCGCGAGGCTGGAAAAAGGCCGAGCACAGACGAAAACGTCCGAACACCGACGAGAACCCTTCCACCCGACCCGATGCCGGCGCCACCGAGAATGACTTTCTGTTACGCCACGAAAACGTATACACAGACACCCCCCACCGAATTTTTCACGTGCCTTCAGGGAGGGCGGCGGGGAAACGAGTCGATGCCTTTCAGTGGTGATTTATAAGCCGCCACCCTCCCTTGAGCCTCAGGAGCAATCCATTGGAGGGCGTGTGTGTGTACACTCGTGTGGCGGCTCTTTTCTTCTCGCCGATGTACTTCGCCGCCCAGCTCTCGAACTCGCCGCGGCTGGCGCCGGCGGCCGCCGCGGCGTGCCGCCCCGCGGGCTCCGCCGGCCCTCCTGGGCAGTCCTCCGCCACTGCCCGCCGCGAGCCAGGGGGGTGTCCTGTACGGTCGGACCGAAGACAAGAGAACACCCTGCAAGGACATGGGACCCTCCGCCGGCCAAAACACCCCAGAGCAGAAGATCACTCGAGGGTACCCTCCCCCAGGGTGCACGAGAACGTGCAACAAGCACGAGGATCGGTAGGCTACCCCCCCCCCGCACCGACCACGATCTCTTATGCCTCGGTCCGACCGTAGGGAATCTGTGCGGGCAAGTTCTGTAGTGCGTCTTGGGATTTCAGGCTCCCTTCCCCAGCCTCCAGAGGCGCATTGAATGTAGAATAAGATCTGACCCCTGGAGGCAAGTTTCTATTCATATCCACTGCGCCTCGGCCTTCTGGCGCCCCTTCCCCAGAACGGCCGAGACGCAATGAATCTGGATATAATTAAGTCTTGCCCGCGACCGTTTTTCGGGTGCTGCCAGACCTTCGGAGGCAACTCCGTGGAAGTCTCCGCGGGGACGCTTCAAGATGGAGGAGCAGAGAAAGCACGAACACACACACACACAATTTCTCGGAGCTCCCCGCGCGGACTTCCTGCGTCGGCGCAGCACCGACCCCAGGAATATCCCTGCGGGCTTCTTAGAGCTCCTGCGGATGCAGCCGAGCCCGATTGGGGGGCCATTGATCCGGAAGGGCCCAGGACCGACCCCCAGATGACGCCAGATGACGCGGGATCTGGCGGAACTGCGCGAGGCTGTGCCAGATTGGGCCGGCCTGCGACCACGGATCTACCAGCGCCAGAGTGCTGAATGCCACCTCCCAGGAATCGCAGCCTGACCACCTCCTGGGCTTCTGGAGCAGACATCCGGACCGCCCCCTCGACTCCGGGGGCGATTTTCTGGGCAAGCCGGCAATCGAAAATCGGGAGCGGCCAAGAGGGGGGTGTCCAAGAGGCGGGGGGTGCAAATCATGACCGGCGGCATGTGCGCGGCCCAGCGGGGGGGCCAGGGACGCAATGAAGTAAGAAGAGGCGCCATGAAATCTGGGGAAATATCATGGCCCCCGCCATGATGGCCCCCGCCATGACATCCCCCCCCCCCTAGTCATCACCCCCCTCTTTTCCGCCCCCGAGAAAACGGGTCAGGTCCCGGAGGCCTCGATCTCGTCCCAGGACGGGCTGTTCATCCCGAGTCGTTCTTTGATGGGCCCGGGGCCCACCATGGCCCCCCATGGCAGAGAATGGCCCGAGACCCCCCATCATAACTTTGCCTCGGCCCGAGGGAGTGCATCTGCAGCGCGCAGGCAAAAAACCCTGACCGCGTTACGAAGTTAACGAAACCGCCTCGCTTTTGGGACACCCTCGCTTCCCAACGCGAGCCAAACAATACCAAGCTACCCGTGGGGTGGCCCGCAACGGTCAGGCGCGGGGGCGCGGAGTATGACTTGATTTTTGCGTGGAAGCAAAAGGAGGGTTGGAATTCACCCTCTGCCGTATCCCCCCTTCCGCTGAGCAAAGAAACCTGGCCGCACCTGCCCATATATCCAACGATGTGTTCTTGTCCGATGTGCGCGGCCCAAGAGGTCCTGATCTTATTCCCAGCAGTAGTTGTCCGTCCGGGACCTATGTTTGATGGTCCCCGGCCCTGGCTTC